GGGGAAAACAAACTACCACCAACAGTTGCCCATTTTAATATGGCTTAAAAAATAACCAAATATTGTGTCTCAGTCCAAATTCAAATGACTATCTTAGTCCCTTAATAACCTCCAAATAATTGTGTTTACCATTTTTCCACTTTTAGAACAGTTTGGTGCTATTGTGGAAATGCTGTCTTAGATCCCTGAGAACAAAGATGGAATTTACTTTCTGTCAAAGATCAGTGGAACTTAAATTGAATAAAATGTCTTAAGTTTTATCAAGGACTTAAGTATTTTGTGACTACTTCTTTACTCGTTCCCATTTTGCAGTAGAAAAGGAAACACAGCACAAGCTTGAACTACTTGATTATGGTTAATATCTCAAAGTTGGCTTCACATATAAAATACTCATGTCAACCTGTGCTTCAATTAATTATTAAAAACAAAATAACAAAAAAAGGCTAAATTTGGTTAAGCAAAGTGCTACCTCTATTATAGTGTTAGAAGAGACACATAACCCACAAAAATAAATATTGGGACATACAGTTTTATCTTGAAACATGCATTTATGAAAATGAAAATGTGCATTTACAAGAAGAGAACAGGAAATGTTAAAGAAAAAAAGAACACAATTACATTAATAGCACTCACACTCTACCTTAATATTTAATCACTGAATAATTTAATTTTCCTAAAAACAAAGAAAGCAGTAGTCTAGAAAATCTGGTATTGCTACAATTTCTGAAGAATGCATTTTTCTTACCAAGAAAACAGATCAAGACTTATATTTAATTCATGAATACAGATTGAAATGAGAAAATAAATGCCAAATGAAAACTAAGACTTGAAGAAAAGGTTTCAAATAAAGTCTCAGCTGAATTTAGAACACCTTTTGAAGAAAAAAATTCAACTACCAAGACTAAAATTTCTTAAGATTGTTTGCCATAAACTCCTCCTTCCTACTTCCCTCCAAAAAACTCAGGTCAGATAACATTCAATGAACATCCAAATATACTCAGATAAGTTCTGGAATGTGTAAAATCATTTAGTAGCAGCAGAATAAAAAGAATAGCAACCAAAACATTTGGCAATTAAGTTTTAAATCTTTATTATAACTACCAATAATAAGACCTAAAAAATTCTAATTGATATGTAAATTTTTTAAAGAAAAAGAATTAAGTTCTTCAGACAAATAAATGATATTCAACAAATATAAGTATTTCAAAATTAGAGTAAGTATTGACATGAGGCTAACACCTTCAGATTAAGAGCTTAGAACATAAATCCTACAAAAGGTTGCCTGAAACACAAAGAAATGCTGAGCTGTTAATGATTTCTATTAAAACCAGAATTCTCCATTGAATCTACTAATACATGCAAATTTATTAGGTTAATCATGGCAAGTCCTATACTAATATGAAATCATCAAGAAACTAAAACTCTAATTCCAAAATTAAAGTGATTAAATCTATATCTTGCATAGGTCGCAAAATTTGAAAATATTTGTATTTAGATGTGAAACTTGTAAGAATAAATCTAAGTGTTATTGGAAAGGACACTTAATAATTATGTTTTAGTAGTCTTCCTTTGTCCTTTTGATATTTCCTGAAAAACTTATTTTAAGAGCTCTATAATTTACCATTAAAAACATAAGCAGTTATCTCTGGAAAGAACAGGCTAGCTAGGTATGTGATGGACCACTTGGATAGGCAAAATAGTTTTTTTTCTCCTTAACTTCCTAACAAAACTTCTTCCTCAAAGCCAAGACTTTCCATCTTAATAGTTGCTTTTCATGAGGCACAATTAAGAATTTGCCCTCTCTTACAGTTATAAAATGCCCCATACATCTCATGTGTTGCTTTAACACTATTATGTTGAAGTTGACTATAACTCCCGGAATACAGATTTATACTGCTAAGAAGTGACAGACAAGAAATGAACCTCATGAAATACATTATGAATTTTTTTTTAAAAAAGGGAGGGGGAGTAATGTTCAGTGAAGTTAAAGCTCATCTGCTAATTTATCTTGTTAAAAAGGAAATATCAACCCAAGATATAATTTTAAATATTGGTTATATTCTAAAAGCCAAATCTATAAATGGATTCATTAATAATTTGGTGGCACATTACCTTCGTTTTAAACATTTCCAGTTGCTAGTTTAAGAGGCTCTGCTTTCAAAGGAAAGAAACTTTTTTTTATTATTTATTATTATTTATGCCTACAGCACCTGGTCTTCCTAGGTGGTCTCCCGTCCAAGTACTAACCAGGTCTGACCCTGCTTAGCTTCCAAGATCAGACATTGGGCTTGTTCAGAGTGGCATGGTCGTAGACGATGGGCCGTGGCTCCACCGGGCCCATGCCTACAGCACCTGGTCTTCCTAGGTGGTCTCCCATCCAAGTACTAACCAGGTCTGACCCTGCTTAGCTTCCGAGATCAGACATCGAGGTTGTTCAGGGTGGCATGGCTGTAGACCGTGGACCGTGGCTCCACTGGGGCGCGAACCCAGGACCTTTTCTGCGTGTAAAGCAGACATACTAACCACTACATTATGGAACCATGTTCCTCGAGGGAAAGGAATTTTTGTAATACAGTTACAACACCATTTGTTCTAATAAAATTAAAATGCTAATATCTATCTTCAGCAAGATACAAAAAATCCCATTAGACTATATGCAACAAAGTTTTCAAAGAGGGCAAAGAGGTCAAACAAATGAAGACTAAGAACTAGATGGTGATGTGTTTGACTAATAAAAGATTTCATTTTGTCCCACAACTAGCAACTTTAAATTCTCTTCATGTAACAATACAATTAGAAAACTTTTGATTAGGGTCTTCTGTAATTCAAACTACATTCCACAAGCCATGTGATAACTATATACATATAAGTCCTAATAGTTTTGAAGCAGCTCTTCACAGTAACAATGATGGGTAGCAAACATAAAAGTGAATCCAAAACGCCATTTTGACTAAGTATTTTGACCTACATCACGTTGTTTTTCTCCAACAACTGCCAGTCAGAAGAAGCCAAGTAGAATTTCACCTCCTAGCCCTAAAACCACCCATTCCAATGTGGGAGTCAATAGTAAAACTGTCAAAAACAGCTGGAAGGAGGAAGCTGAACAATCTACAAAGATGACAGCCCTAAATAACTAAGTTGGCTTTAAAAGTAAACAGTGAGCTTATTTATCAGTTTTGGGGGGTTATCTTAATCTAATATAGATGATGACGGTTTGGTTACTTTCCATGTTGCCTTCCGTTCACATGAGGGACATAACTGCTATTTGTTAACTATCAGTACAAGGATTTGGAAAATGTTCCAAACGGTTAAAAATGAATGTTTATCAAACAGACTTATTTGTCAGTTAATAAGCCAATAAGCACTCTAAGTAAATGCTAGAAAGGCTGGGGGGTGGGAGGAGGCAGGGGAGTTGAACAAAATAAATAAGGTAGTCCCCTCTCTTCAAGAGTCTCTTAATTCGTTAGAATATCAGAGTACACATGAAAGAGTCAGAGACCAACTAATTGCTAAGCTGAGTGGTACAAACTTTAAGTGCAAGAGCTGTCCAGGAAGTTTAAATATCTGAAGACTGGATATTACTTTTAATAGCTTTCACTTGAGCACTTATTACAAGCCAAGTGCTTTGCAGGCATTAGTCTTCACAGCAACCCTTATTCCCAATTTACTCAAGGGGAAACTGTCAAAGTGGTTAAGGAACTTACCCAAGGTCACTCGGCTAGGTAAGTAGCTAAGACGGCCGCTTACCCAGGCAATCCAATTCTAGAGCTCACTGTTAAGACTTCGCAAAGCAGCGCGAGTTAGGCGAGAGGGAGGTGGGGAGGCCATATAGGCAGGCAACAACATTACAAGCGCCAAGATCTCGCAACGCATTCCCCGCGTTTCGTTCTAAGTAATGATGTCCTAAAGATTCGTTATCTTCCGCACCAGCAACCGTAAACTGACTACCTGGGGCGGGCGCGAGGGCGCGGGCGGGGAGGTGGGGCGACAGTAAAAATGGCTAACAAGTTAACTAATACGGGATTGGGCATTCTCTAATAAAGCGACTCAAAGTAAATTAGAAATAAATTGTTTCTTTTAAATCTGGGGTTTTGCTACCTAAACATTGTTTGTTTGTTTGTTTCCGAGAGCGCTGAAATTTTGGGCAGTGGGTATGGCAAGTTAGTGTTTTCTGTATTACAGGGGGAAAAAGTTTTATGACTAAAGGAAACGCGTTATTCTAGGTACTTCGAGAACCTTGGAGAGTTGCCAAAATTAGTTGCAGTCCCAGAACAAAATGGGGTTTAGGAAACATTTAATTAAAGTTGAGTCCAACCCGAAAGGGCTCTAAGGTGAAAAGACGAAGCAAAGAAATGCCGGTAGATCTTCGGGGAAAGCGGCAATCCCTGCTACACTTCTCCCACGGCCAGCAGCACCGCGCGAGGCCGGGACAATCCGAGAGACCGCTCCCCGGGAAGACGAGAGGTGCCAAGCAGGGCTCTTCGCGACGCCCGGGGCTTCGCCACGGCGGGCGGAGGGGAGGGAGTCCGGGATGGTTCGCCCTCCTCCGACTTCGGGCAGAGGAGGCGCCGGGCTCCAAACTGCGGAGTCGAACGGGTGCACAGTAAAGAAATGGGACAGAGATGGAAAGTCCGAACCCACCCGGTGCGGCCCCGTAAAGAGAAAGGAGCCAAGTGAGCTCAAACGAAGAGGGGGACAAAAAGAGACCGCGCAGGACCGCGGGGACCCGCAGGGACGAAACAGGAGCTCTGCTAAAAGGCTAAAGGCGGGCGGGCTACGGCGGGCAGCAGGGATTTCGGGGAGGCCAGGGAAGGAAGGAGGTCGGCGGCGGTAACAGCATCTCTCCTCCCCGAGTTCGAAACTCCTAGCCAACCATCCACACCCGCCGCCCGGATGGGGGAGGGGGCACATCGTCCCCCCAACCTCCCCTCACAAGTGAGAGCGCTGCTGACACCCAGGCCCAGCCCGGCCGTGCGCCCGCCTCCAGCCCGGACACTCACAATTCGCCTCTCCCTGATTTCTCCCAGTTCTTTATCCACTCTACGGGAACCACCACAGTTGCGGCCGCCATCTTCCTCTCACTAGTAGCAGAGGCCCGGATGTGTAGCACGCGAGTGAAGGGTCAAAGGGGAGCACCGCCCACTGGGAATGCCGGGAGCTGCGAGTTCACTTTTGATTTCGCGCCCTACAGTCCTCCCCACCCCGCCGAAGCCCGAGGCCCTGTAGCCTACGAGGTGCCCCAGACCCGTGGGTCCCATCGCAGAGTGACGTCGCTGGCCGCGCCCTGCGCCACCCTTGCCCTCGCTTCCCTTTAGAACAGGAAAAGTGCCATCTCCAAGGCCGACTCGTAGCCTTGGAGAGGCTACGTAGTATCTACTCCAGGCTACTAATTCAAAAATGCATTTTTCAAACACCTAATATATACTAGACCCTGGAATAGAAAAGCAATAAACCATGATGCCTACCCTCAATGAGCTCACAGTCTGTGAGAAAGACAAACCTATAAGCAGATCAATTACAATACACCTTGCTAACTGCTGAGATAAAAGATGTTACTCGGGAAAGTAGCCATTTACGTGTGTCAGACATGCTAATACAGGGGATACAATCTAGCGAGGAAAAGAAACCGGCCCTGGGAAACACTTGTAGCCACCAGTGCTGACACCCTACTGTGTCTCTCGAGTCATTGTAACCTTAGGCAAAACTAGGGGGCGCAAGTACCTTGAGAAACAACTTGTTTACATTACTCGCTACAAATTATCTTCGGATCAGATACTATTTCAAAGGACGAAATAGAAACTTTACAGTGGGAAAACAAGGACGTCGTTTCATCTGCGGAAGACAATAAGCATCCCCCAAAATTAGACAAATGGGCATCATGCGCCTCCTGATAAGGTGATAAGAAAAATACTAATTTTGTAGTATTCGTCATACCAAAAATTCGCATAACCTGAATTTAATCGTGAGGAAATGTTAGTCAAATCTATACTGAGGGACGGTCTACAAAATTACCGTCTTGCACTATTCAAAATCGTCAAGGTCACTAAAGACAGACTGAGGAACTCTTCCAGATTAATGGAAACTACAGACGTGACAATTGATCTCCAGCCAGAAAAACATTTTCTTATGCTAAAAAGGGGTATTATTGTGACAATTGCTACATTTGAATATCTGTAGATTAAGTAATAACATTGTATCTGTTAATTTATTGTAACACTTGTACTGTGGTTATGTGAGAGAAAGTCATTGTTTAAGAAAATACCCACTGAAGTATTTAGAGATAATTGGGCATTATGTTGCAACGTTCTCTAAAATGTTTCAGAAAAAAAATGATTAAGCAAATGTAAAATATTAACATTTTAAGAATCTGGGGAAGGGCAAACAGGGGTTCTCTGTTTTATTTGTGGAACTTTTCAAAATAAAAAAGTTTTAAAACTACATCTTTGGCAGAAAATTTAGAAAACACAGACAAACCAAATGAAGAAAGCTTACCACACATATAGTAAAATATAAACTTTAGAACTAAAAGCTTCTAAATTGGGTGAGTTTTGCCAAATGTACTAGGTTCATTTGCATTGTAAAACTCTTCAGGGGATAGGCTGTATAAGTTCTGGGGAAATGCTACATTGTTTATAGTTGTTTTTCATCAGCTATATTTAGGCTCCTAATGTCCTATCTGATTTTGAAATTCTAAAATCACCCACTAGAAAATATACACCATTCATCCGCTCATAAAAACTTTTTGCCATTTCACAGAGGTTCAGAAATATGACTGCCCTTTGATCTTCTCATTCTTCATTATTATAGAGTATTTCAAAAGTGAACAGAATGGTATAGTGAATACTCATTGTATCATCATCCTTCCTATAAAAAATTGAAATTATTATTACAGGATGGCTTCTATGATACCAGAAGCACTATCCTGCTGCTTATGTAAACTTCACTGTATAGTCTACAACGGTCGACACTAGAACCAGATAATTCTTTGCCAAGGCAGGAGAGGTCCTGTGCATTGTTGGGTATTTAGCACATCCCTGGCCTCGATCCACTAGATGTCAGTAGCACCCCCACACCAGTAGTTGCAACATCTCCAGACATTGCTAAATGTCTTCTGGAGTGCAAAATAACCTCCTGTTGAGAGCCACTGAGCTACAATATTTTGCTGTATTGTGGCTTACCTTGCCACTGTATCACAGTGACTTCTCCTTCCAAACATTGAACTGTGTGCAGTATGCATTCTGCTTAGTATCCCACAAATGTGGTATGACTCGATTGCACTGATGCCCTTTGAGGCCTTGGTACTCTCTTCTCCCAGAGCCTGCAGAACTATTTTTACATGGTATGATGACTCCTTTAGGAATTCCTCAGAGCTAATTGGATTTTTGCTCTATAAGACTGCAAAACTATCATATCTTTTGCATCCTCGTTATTGGCTTGCCTGTTCTTTGCTATCTGGTATTGTCTCAGCAGCTGAGAGTACTGTCTCTGGTGATCTTACTAGCTCATGGGTATGGATGAACTAGGCAGGGACTGAGGTCTGTGATTAAGGCCAAGGATTTGGTAGTTTCACTGTTGACAGTCTGATGCATGGAGTGATAAACCGATTTTTGGTCTTTGAAAGGTCAAGCAATCTTATCATCTCAGTGAATACAGATAATGGGATCAAGAAGGAGGAACATAAAAGCAAAACAAGATAAAATAAGTAAAATAATCAAAGAATGAATGCAAAAGCTGTACCCTTTGTGGGCCTGTCCCCTGAAATCCTGATTATTGGTAACAAATTTTTATTAACTAAAGACTTAGTTATGTTAAATATACAAATTAAAATTTCTAGGATAACCACCACAAAAATAAAAAGATAATATATATCTTCCAAACTACCAGAGAAGAAAAACATTGAAAGAAACCCAAAAAAGGCAAGAAAAAAAGAAAAAAGTGTTTTTAAAAGTGGAACAAAGAGAATAGAGGAGGATGGTAGATTTAAACTTAAATATACCAATAATTGCATAAAATATAAATGAACTAAATGCTCCAGTTAAAAATAAAGATTATCAGACTGGATTTAAAGAAGTCTAACTAGTTTTAAGAAACATCCCTAAAACTAAGGGACACAAAATTTGAAAGTAAAAATGATGGGGAAAATATACCAAATACTAAGGCAAATACTAAGATCAATAAAAATTAAGCTGTTATAGCTAGATTAATATCAGACAAAATAAATTTTAAGGGAAAAAACAAACACTAGATTTAAAGAGGATTACTATATATTGATAACAGTTTCAATTCACCAGGAAAATGTGATCATTCTAATCTGGAATGTACTCAACCTCTTTGAAATATATGAAGCAAAAATTAACAGAACTACAAGGAAAATAGACAAATCCACCACCCCAGGGAGAGTCTTTAATTCATCTCTCTCAGAAATAGACAAAGCAGACCAAAAAATCAGTAAAAATGCAGAAAATTTGAACATCAAATGAACAAATTTGATCTAGTAGATATACATAGAGCACTGAACATAGCAACTAGAAAATAAACACCTATATTTGAAAATTTTAAAACATACTTTTAAAAAAATTATAGGTCAAAGGAAAAGGTCCTATTAAAAACTAGAATACTTAGACCAGAACAATATTGAAAATACTAATGAAAAAAATGATCGGTTGCAGCTAAAGTGGTATTTACAAAAAAATTTATATCCTTAAACCTTTGTATTATTAAAGAAACAAGGCTGGAAATAAAAAAGCTAAGCACTAATTTAAGGAGTTGCAAAAATAATAACGAAGTAAATGAAAGAAAGCAGAAATAAGAACATTTTAAATAGTAAATACTAATTTAAAAGAAAATATTCAATAGAAAAGATCAATAAAAACAAAAATTGGTTGGTTGAAAAGTCTAATAAAACTAACACACCTCTGGCAAGACTGATTATAAAAAAGAGGAGAGAAGATACATAGAAAGAAATGTTAAGAATTATATATGTTGGGTTCTTGACAGAAAAGAGATGAGTATGGAGATAAAGAGAATTTAATGAAGGAACCATGCACATGGGTGTGGGCAGGATTAAAAGAAACCAACAAATGGTTGGTGAAGCACCTCAGGCCTAGCAACACTGGAAATAGTATACCTAAGCCTGAAGGGGCAAGGGGAGAAAATGGTTATCAAAAACTAAGGAGATAAGGAAAAGTAAAATAAAATAAAAAAATAAGGAAAGGAACATTCAACAGGAACTATGTGGCCGTCTGTAGTGGAATTACTGACAACTCACATCTTAGCAGGGAGGGAGCCTGGAGAATAAATACCCTAACCTTTCTCTTCTTCTATCATCTGATCTCCTGCTGATACCGCCCATTGGCTGATGGCTACTGGAAGCCATAATGCAAGAGAGCCTGGCAAATGTAATTAATAAAGATCAGGGGATGGAGCAGAGTGGAGAAGGGTAGAAAGCATATCATGAAAGAAAAAAAGAATTTTCAGCACTTACCATTTCTTTTGCCCCTCCATACTACTCTTGCCCTTTGTCCAAAATGAAAAAGCCATGCCTTCAAATGGAATGTACAAAGTACCATCAACTACTATATCATTACAGGATAGTGCTGATTTATTCATGCTCCCACATGAAATCTAAATTATTAGCCACTACCAGTGCTTTTCATATAAGGTAAAAGGAATAAAAGGAGTTTATAAACATAAAACACAGTTGCTATTGTCCCTGCTTCTATATAGTTGGAAGCAAGCTCTAAGTTGATAATCATAGTTTCCTTTTTCTGCTACATACTCCATATTTCCCTTACTCTCTGGCAGCACATCAATAGGACAGGATACATTACCCGGTGGAGTGACCTAAACATTCATCCCCACAGGATCTGAATCCTTATAATCTTACCTTGATTGGGTTACTAGTTTTCATTGACCAGTACTATTAAGTAAGAGAATAATGAGAGGTACCCCAGTGAAGCCTCTGGGGTCTAGACATAATCCTCCTTGCCTCCATTGTGTAGTAGCAACCTAATTTGCCTTTGGTTATCAGAGTAGACCACTCTGGTCTGTACAGTGACCCTTTGTCTGCCTGTTCATTCAACAGCATGAGGAGCACAAAATGGCCAAAAGGCAGTGTCAGCCTCTAAAACATCAGAATCCCAACATA